TGCGTGCATGTAACGTTTTTTGCAATAGATGGTCACCTCAGAGCTTAGGGTGGTTCGTGCACTAACCAATATTCCTCATTTCTGCCTGCATGCGTCACATGATTTACCTACCCTGTGACCCGTCCTGTAACCGTTCCCGCAAACCCCATCCTTCCCTCCCTCCCCTCACCCTCCCGTCTACACACCTCTGTGCATGCCAGCGTCTCTGCTATCGGGTCAGGCATCTCCGCAATGGCACGAATGCCCTCCGCCAGCTGATTTATCTGCAGTGGTTGGGGGACGGAGGGCGAGGGGATAGCGGGAGTGAGGAAGGGGAAGAGAGCGGGTGAGAACGAGAAATGCAGGGAGATTTTTGAATTGAAGCGATTGCTTGAACGCTCTCCGCCAGTTGATCAACGTCAGGGAATAAGAAAACGATGGCAGTTGGGGAAGGCGGGGAGGGAGTGGATAGTGGAGAGAGTGTGGGAGGGGAGGGATGGGAAAGGGGGGGAAGGTTGGTGGGATGTGGTTTGGGGAAGAGGCATGCAGCAAAGAGAGTCGTTGATATAAGAAACGACTCAGATGCCTTACGCCGATTGCTGAGGTACAATGTAGCGGAAAGAGGGGGTTGGGGACGGAGGAGGGGAATCTAGAGGGATGGTAAATTGGGGGGAGGGGAAGTTAGCTGGGAGAGAGGGGAAACTGGAAGCGGGGGAAAAGTTGGAGGGAGGAAAAACAGGCGAGGGAGAGCCGGAAAGGGATGTTCAGCACATGGTTTTTATATAAATGCCCTTTAATGGGAGGGGGAAAAAGGGGGTACAAGGCGGGCAGCTCCATCACCCAGCCACACTCAATGTACTACAAGAACATGCACCAGGAGATAGGCGGAAGGCTAGCTTCCAAGAGTTGTGTATGCACCTCTGCACTACGCATTCCTCGATTAAAGAAAACTCAGATCCGTATCAGCTCTTTGCGTTCGTGTATGCTGACTTCGTTCTCGTATCAATTATATTCGGCGACAGAATCTAAGCCGAAGCTTTACCTTCAATAAATTGCCAACATCCTGGGCCCTGATGCTCCGCCACTCCCTGCTATTCCCACTGTACTACACTTCGCGACGATGATGCCTTCATATTTGAATTTCACGTACCCGGCCAGGTTTGAGTTTCAGCCGTTGGATGAGAGCAGGGGCAACGCGATGGATTTCTGCGAACCGCACGTCGTGGTTGTTCTGCTCGATGATCTCCTCCTCCCGCTTCACCAGCGCGTCAGCCACATTCAGCAAGATCTCCTTCCTCTTCTCCTGCGACAGAGCCTGCATCGCGGGTAAATCCATGGCACAGGGAGCAATGTAACAGCAAGCCATAATTTAGCGTTCTAGCACGCTGCAGACGACTTCTCGGCCAGGGAGCATTTTGCCTACATATACCCTACACACCAACCTAGTTGGATACTTCCTGTGCACTGATTGTACCACCAGTCAGATGGCATAAAAACTCCCATAGCCATACCGCAATCGAACTTTAGAACGAAAGAAGGACTCCCCTGTCACCACGCCTACGATACCAGAACCGGGACACCGAATCACAGAAAAGATTCCTACTCTGGCAGCATACCTGCAGCTTCCTGCTCGCGTCACGCGCAGCAACAGCCATGTCGCGGGCAGCGCTTTTCCCCGACTTGCCAACAGCCCACAGATGCGCGTCTTTGTGGAACAGCGTGCCCACCAGCTCGCCTCGCAGCACCCGCAGCACGCCGTCATTCGTCAGCCCGCTCGCGATCACCGTCGTCACTCCCCCCATCGCCGCTTTCAAAGCCGCGTCCACCTTTGCGGTCATCCCGCCTCGTCCGACGCGCGATTTCTCGCCGAATTTGATCTCGTCCTGAGAATCTTTCACGTATGTGTTGATGAGCACTGAGTCGGGGTCGGACGGAGGTCCAGTGTAGAGGCCGTCGATGTCAGAGAGGAGAATCAAAGCGTCGGCTTCGAGTTCGAGAGATAGGAGCGCCGCAAGAGAGTCGTTATCCCAGAAGATTCCCGACGCATCCTTGTACGGCACGTGTCGCGTGGAAATTGCATCGTTCTCGTTAAATATGGGGACTACGCGATGGTCCAGGAGCGAATTCACGGTGCTACGAAGCTGATCGCGAAATTCCAGGTCCGCGAACTCCCGTTCGGTTACCAGCAGCTGAGCGCAGCCAACGTCAACCTGATGGAACAGCGACTCGTACAGTGACGTCAGCTCGCCCTGGCCAATAGCCGCGCAGGGCTTGCCTTCGAGCTCCGCCTGCGGCTTCTGAAGGTCCTTGAAGCTCGTCCGCATGAAGCCCTGGAAGCGAAGCTTCTGCCGGCCCACGCCGACGGACCCGCTGGTGACGATAATCACCTGGCGACCCTCGGATACAAGAGCCTCAACCTGTAAGCGTAAACAAAGAAGGAAATGAATTGAGCATTTACGAGGCAAATGACGGGTCTTCCCAGGAGAAAAGACATGAAGAAGGATCCGTTGGTGACAACGATGACCTTGCGGCACTCGGATAGGCGAGCCTGAATCTACGGGAAAGGAATATTGTTATTACTATTTTCTAATATAAAAAAATGGGCCATAAAGAAACGGTTTGAGCGTCCACAGGCAAAATTGTTGGCAATGGCGGAGGCAACCAGAAAAAGTGCTAGTGTTTTACCAATCTCCAGACACATACGGTTTTATTTTTGTGTTACTTACGCACCTCCTCGCAGAGACACCCGAGCCGGCCAACTGCAAGATGGCCATCCGGACGGGTGACGACGGCCGTGCCAAGCTGAGAGTCAAGGAGGAAGCAACAGAAGAGAGACATCAAATGCGGATCAACAGTGGTCTGTGAAGAAACGAGACTTAAAAAAAAAAGTCTTTAGTGCACATTGACAGTAGAATGAAGGTAGTTAAGGAAATGCGTAGTAGCGGTAAGTGACGAATGGCCACCTTGATGACGACGCGTCGAGCGTTCTTAAGCGCGTGCCGAGCAGCCGCTTCACCAGGAGAAGACATGATAATTCACAATGTAGATACTGTTAAAATTCGGTTTTGCGAGTTTTCCCGCAGCGTCGAACTGCAAAGAAAGCTTAGAGCCTGACGGCAAAGACCTTGGACAGTTAACTCTAAGCTAGCCACAGAACGACTGCCGAGTTAGGCTAATGGAGTGACACTGACTAGGATGAGGCAAACAGGCAGCATGTAACAAACAGGAATCCAGAGGCAGAGGACAGATATAGGATGGGTGGGACTGGGGGGTGGAAAATTCTGGGCCTGTATGGTATGACCTGCAGCTTGGCCGATGTTAGGGCGTGTTACATTTTCGATTTTTCCGCATTGTTCGGACAGTCACCACTCTAAAACGTTTAGAAACCCACTTGAACCAGTCGTTCTAAATATATACCACTTTGAACCGTTCTGACGGTCCGGTCCGTCAACACGCCCTTATGGCCTGAACTGTATTTCCATTCCAACGGTCTTTTCGAGATACTCCTAGAGATCTCCCCGGCTCTTGGGATTGCAGGGTGAACTAAGTCCCGCACAATGGGGGCCCTGGTGTGCATCTGGGTGGGTGTAGTAGGTTGGTTGACGGTCGGTGGTTTCGGAAGGAATCTTGCGGTGCTGTAGGCTGTTAAATGGTCATAGACGATTCTATAGGTTTTAGTGTGGTTCTTGTGGATGTGACAGGCTTGACTGGCTGGGTGGATATTCCCATGTTTGCCAGCGCACCGTTGACGGCCTGGCATCTGCAACTTTCCAGGTGCTTGAAAAACAATGTTTGTACATGTGTGCCAATTAGAATTCTCGTTATCCAGGTGACGTTCCACGTAGGATCCAGCTATGAAAGTTGACGTCAGCGTGGTCGTCTGATTTCCCGCCTTCAGAAATGGGAGCTGCCCTGTACAGAATGCTTCGACACAAAATACAGTTATTTACGAATTATACGTACACGCATTTCTATGTTGTGTATACAGTATCGCCGAGCGATGGAAGGTGGTGGTGTTGATTGGTTGAACGACAACCTCCAATCAGGTGAGGCACCCGATTATTGATTGACGAATCAGAGCGGCTTGAGTGAGGCAAAAGAAGCCTTCATTAGCGTGTGCGGTTCACATTATTCCTGTCTCAGCTTTCGGCTGCCAATAGGGCATAGTCGCCTCCAAAGTCGCTCTCGTTTTGCAGGAAACCTTGGGGTTCGGCGATTTTAGTGGGGCCGATCGCCACCATTTTCACCTCTCTTCCGTCCTGCTTTGGAGCCTCGAGTATTTTGCTTGGCCCGACCATTTTGCAGGGGTAGAGCGTTTTGCTTGTGCTAGTCGTCTCAAAGCTGTGATCATCTCGTCAGGGCTCTCTGATCCTCTAGGCTAGTGTTTTACGAACAAGCCTCTCAGTTATTCACGCTCAGAGGGATGTCGTCGCCAGGCGAGGCTGCCGCGCGCCTGGCGCTGAAAGGCGCTCGTCGGATCGTGATCAAGGTACGGCAAGCGCCAGGATAGTAAACTTCAGGATTCATGGCTCGTTTTGAGCGTAATATCTCAGCATCCATCGTTCTGGCAACAATGTAGGTTCCTAGCTTAATCGTGAGGTCTGTTTTCTGATCATTTTCCTGCATTTTGTTTTCTCGACATTTTTCTGATTATCCTCCGCTTTTTCTTCCTTAACACCTCGCGCGCGTTCATACCCCCCACTTTCAAAATTTGTCTCAGGTGGGAACGGCTGTTGTGACGCGTTCAGATGGACGGCTCGCCCTCGGGCGAATGGGGTCGCTCTGCGAAGCGGTGAGCCATGCGATAATCATTCTTTCTAGTTCATTTTGAATGCAGCCCTGACAGTAGAGTAGGAGTATGTCCTCATATTGCAGCCTCTGGTCCAGCGGTACTTGAACGAGTGGGGACTTCTGCGAAATGATGCGTCATACAGTAAATACGTTGTGTCGAGTCTGTGAAAGTCTGTAACAAGTAGTGAGAACAAAAGAAAATAGAAAATTAACGCAAGCGAATCAGAATAATGGCGTCGTTGCTTTTCAAACCTACTTTACTCTTCAAGCTAACTTCCACGTTTTTTTCTTTGTACGAGCAGATTGAGACGCTCGTATCGGACGGCAGGGAGGTGATTCTGGTGACAAGTGGCGCGATCGGAGTGGGCCGGCACAAGCTGCGCTTCCAGCGCTTCATGCGCACGAGCTTCAAGGACCTGCAGCGCCCGCAGGGGGACGACATTGACGGCAAGCCGTGCGCGGGCATCGGGCAGGGCCAGCTCATGGCTCTCTACGAGTCCTTGTTTAACCAAGTGGACGTTGGGTGTGCCCAGGTAGGCTCTCTGGATCTCTCAGGCAGGAATGAAGGGTAGATGTGGGGGCTGTGGACCGGAGGGATGGGGTGCAAAGAGCGCTTCATTTCATGCGCACGAGCTTCAAGGATCTGCAGCGCCTGCAGGGGGACGACATTGACGGCAAGCCGTGCGCGGGCATCGGGCAGGGCCAGCTCATGGCTCTTTATGAGTCGCTCTTCAACCAAGTGGACGTTGGGTGCGCTCAGGTAGGCTTTCAAATATGACTCATAACAAGTTCTGTGGGTGCGTGCGGCATTGGGCGGGGCCATCTCATGGCGCTCTACGAGTCCTTGTTTAACCAAGGGGACGTTGGGTGTGCCCAGGTAGGCTCTCTTGTATGTAGATCCGTTATGGGACGTCTTGAAACGAAGCAGTGTGAAACAAGCCGTGCGCCGGCATCGGGGAGGGCCAGCTCATGGCGCTCTACGAGTCGCTCTTCAACCAAGTGGACGTTGGTTGCACGCAGGTAGGCTTTCGTGATTGTAGACTCGTTATAACATGACTCAAAACAAGTCCTGTTCGTGCGGGCAGGGCCAGCTCATGGCTCTCCACTCTACGAGTCGCTCTTCAACCAAGTGGACGTTGGTTGCGCGCAGGTAGGCTCTTTTGAGGGTCCTTGAGGGGCTTCAAGCCTAGAGCATATTCTTTAGAAGTGAATTGGCCAGGGCCAGCTCATGGCTCTCTACGAGTCCTTGTTCAACCAAGTGCACGTTGGGTGCGCGCAGGTAGGCTTTCGTGAATGTAGACTCGTAATAACATGACTCTAAACAAGCCATGTGCGTACTATGCACATCGGCCAGGGCCAGCTCATGGCTCTCTACAAGTCGCTCTTTAACCATGTCGACGTTGGGTGCGCGCAGGTGTGTTGTATTGAAAGTCGTTGATGGCACGTCTCCCTGCAGTAGTGTCCTCCCTGCTTCCCTGAGTTTTTGACTCCTCACCCTCCCCACTCCCCCATCCCACCACCACCACCTACACCGTTTCCCATAACCCACCTCACAGTTGCTGGTTACGGAGTGTGACTGTACTAACCTGCACTTCGGCAACCAGCTGCGCACCACAGTCTCTTCCCTGATTTCCTGTGCGCCTAGTGAGGCTTACTCAATGTACCCTCCGCACTTCCCCTCACCCCTTCAACAGCTGCTGGTCACTGAACGGGACTTCACGGACCTGCAGTTCCGCAACCAGCTGCGCACCACAGTCTCTTCCCTGCTGTCCCATGCCACCCCAGGCACTGACCCCACCCCACCACCCCCACTCCCACATCCCATGTGACAGTTGCTGGTGACGGAGCGTGACTTCACGGACTTGCAGTTCCGCAACCAGCTGCGCAGCACCGTCTCCTCCCTGCTGGACCACCGCGTGGTGCCGGTTTTCAATGAGAACGATGCCATTTCCACCCGCGTTGCCCCCTACAAGGACGCCACAGGTGAGCTGGCTGGTTGTCTGGTTGTTAGGGAGAGCTGCATGCATGCGTGTATGCCCATTGCCCACCCACAGCTTCACCACCACAGTCAGTGTCCTCCCTGCTGGACCACCGCGTGGTGCCGATGTTCAACGAGAACGACGCCATCTCCACCCGCATAGCACCTTACAATCGCGCCACTGTTAAGTTGTAATCTGTTTACACACACAGTCCCATCACCAATGTCAGTCTCCTCCCTGCTGGACCACCGTGTGGGGTGTTGCTGGTATTCCCCCCCCCTCGAACTTGCAGGTATCTTTTGGGACAACGACTCCCTGGCTGCGCTGCTCTCTCTTGAACCGCAAGCAGATGCGTGTGTGCCGCTGTCAGACATCGAGGGGCTCTACACCAAGCCCACTTCCCCCCCACCCCCTCAACCCCACTCCTCCCTACCCCGCCCCATTCCTCCCTTGCCTCTCACTCACAAGTATCTTCTTGGACAACGACTCCCTTGCAGCACTTCTATCCCTGGAGCTCCAGGCAGACGCGTGTGTGCTGCTGTCAGACATCGAAAGGCCCTACACCAAGCTTACTTTCCCCTGCCTGCTCTACTTTCTCGCCCCCCCCCCCCCCCCCCCACCCCTCCTTCATGCTCCCGCACGCAGGTATCTTCTGGGACAACGACTCTCTTGCAGCTCTCCTATCGCTGGAGCTCCAGGCAGACGCGTGTGTGCTACTGTCAGACATCGAGGGGCTCTACACCAAGCCACTTTCCTCTCCCCCTCCCAACCCTCCCCTTCCTCCTCCCCCACCCTTCCTTTGTGCTCTCGCTGGCAGGTATCTTCTGGGACAATGACTCCCTGGCGGCTCTCCTCTCGCTAGAGCTCCAGGCAGACGCGTGTGTGCTGCTGTCAGATATCGAGGGGCTCTACACCAAGCCGCCCTGGGACCCTGACTCGGAGCTCATCCACACCTACGTGCCGAGCGTGCATGGAGATTCCATCAAGTGGGTATACAGGATGGGTGAGGTGGAGATTGTGGAGGGTTTAGGGGTTAGGTGTTTGGTTTCAGGGCTCGAGGGTGCAAGAAGAATCCCACCAAGCCCCCCTGGCCCCTGGGACCCTGACTCGGAGCTCATTCACACCTACGTGCCGAGCGTGCATGGAGACTCGATCAAGTAAGCTCAGTGGGTTAACAGGGGAGAGGCCTCAGTGTCCAGGGTTTAGGCGGGGTTTAGGGGTAAGGTCTGTCTGGGAAGCAATGCAAGCAGACACCAGCTGGCCGCCCCGGGCCCTGACTCGGAGCTCATCCATACCTACGTGCCGAGCGTGCATGGAAATTCCATCAAGTGCGTGTATCGGGTGTACAAGGAAGGAGAATCTAGAGCTTAGATCTCAAGAGTTGGGTTTTGTGGCTTGGGATGCGAGCAGACTCGTTGGTAGCGCCCTGGGACCCTGACTCGGAGCTCATCCACACCTCCGCTCCCCCCAAATCTGCCAGGTTCGGCCAGAAGAGTCGGCTGGGTTGCGGCGGAATGACAGCCAAGGTGGAAGCAGCAATCCACGCATCCGGTAGCGGCGTGCCCACAGTGATCGCTGGCGGGCTGGTTTACTGACAGCCCTTCTCCCTCCCCACCCACCAAATCTTCCAGGTTCGGCCAGAAGAGTCGGCTGGGTCGCGGCGGCATGACAGCCAAGGTGGAAGCAGCAATCCACGCATCTGGAGGCGGTGTGCCCACAGTCATAGCCAGTGGCCTGTCAAGCGATGCGGTGCTGCGGGTGCTTTCAGGGGAGATGGTCGGCACGCTCTTTCACAAGGACGCTCACCTGTGGGCCGTGTCTAAGTCTGTCAAGAGCGCTGGCAGGGACATGGCTGTTGCTGCCAGGGATGCCAGCCGGAAGCTGCAGGTGAGGAGAGCTCTGTAGGTCAGGGGGCTTAGTTTGGGGGTGCAGGGTTTTCGGTCGAGTGGTGAGGCACAGGGGTGCCCACAGTCATAGCCAGTGGCCTGTCGAGCGATGCGGTGCTGCGGGTGCTTTCAGGGGAGATGGTCGGCACGCTCTTTCACAAGGACGCTCACCTGTGGGCCGTGTCTAAGAGCGTGAAGAGCGCTGGGAGAGACATGGCTGTTGCTGCCAGGGACGCCAGCCGGAAGCTGCAGGTGAGGAGGGTGTGGTGGGTGGGGTTGAGGGTTTGGCATTCGAGCAAGGCGCTGCTTCGAGTGCTTTCAGGGGAGATGGTCGGCACTCTCTTCCACAAGGACGCTCATCTGTGGGCCGTGTCTAAGTCTGTCAAGAGCGCTGGCAGGGACATGGCTGTTGCTGCCAGGGGTTAGGGTTTTAGGCTAGTGCTTAACCCCGCCCCGCCTCCCATCCCCGACTCTGCTATTTAGGCTCTGACCCCGGAGCAGCAGAAGCAAGCATTATGTGTGTACCCCGACCCGCTCCTCCACCCCATCCCATCCCCCAACCCCTCCGCTGCTGCTATTCGGGCTCTGACCCCAAAGCAGCGCAAGCAGGTTCTCTTAGATGTGGCCGATGCACTGGTGAAACGAGAGGCTGATTTCCCAACCCCATTCCCAACCCCATTCTTAACCCCCTTCCCTACTCCACTTCCAGGCTCTGAGCACGGAGCAACGCAAGCAGGTGTTGTTGGACGTGGCGGATGCGCTGGTGAAGCGAGAGGCGGAGATTGGCCTTTTCCGCATTCCACTAAGCTATCTTGGTAGCCTCCTTTCCCCACCGTGACCCCATCCACAGGCTCTGACTACAGAGCAGCGCAAGCAGGTTCTTTCGGATGTGGCGGATGCGCTGGTGAAGCGAGAGGCGGAGATCGTGGTGCAGAACACCCACTTGCCAATAAATTTCCCGCCGCCTCCCCACCCCTGCCCCACCGTTTCCAACCCCTCTCCTGCTATCCAGGCTCTGAGCACGGAGCAGCGCAAGCAGGTGTTGCTAGACGTGGCGGATGCTCTGGTGAAGAGAGAGGCGGAGATTGTGGAGCAGAACGCCCACGACGTACGGACGTCTGAGATCAACGGCGTTGCACCGGCGCTGCTGCAGCGGCTGAAGCTGAAACCGAATAGGGTGAGTTGAGGTTGAGAGAGAACAAGCGGGTGAGTGGAGGGGAAGGAATAGAATGAGCGAACAGAACGCTCACAATGTTCCCGGCGGCCGAGGTCAACCGCGTTGCACGGCCCTGCTGCAGCGGCTGAAGCTGAAATCTAAATGGGTGAGTGGATGGCAAAAGGAGAGAGTGAGTGGAGGCGGGCAAGGGAGTGTCCACCTGGTGGGAACCAGACTCTTGCTCTGATTTCGTCCATTCTCAGCTGCTATTGCAGGGCATTTCAATCGACGTATGGCTGAAAGGCCAAACTCCCTCATCTGCACCACTGACTCATGCCCCTCCCGCCCCCTCCCCCCTCCCCCCACCCGTCCACTCTCCCTCCCGTCTCTCTCATCTATCGCCGTCCTTAATTGCCTTGCAGATTCAACAGCTAGCAGAGGGCATTCGGGCGATTGCTGAGATGCCTGATCCGATAGCAGAGACGCTGGCTCGCACAGAGGTGCGTGGGTGTGGTGGGGAAGGGAGCGGGAGGGAGGGGGAATGGGGTTTGCGGGAACGGATGTCATGGTGTTTCACTGTGCTGCATGCAACAGTGATGCCTGACCTGACCTGACCTGACCTGACCTGACCTGACCTGACCTGACCTGACCTGACCTGACCTGATATCAGACATGCTGTCTCGAGCAAAGTCGCTGGCTCTACCCTTGCGTTGCAGAGGGGCTGAACAAATGAATCGACTCAATAGTTTGCTCTCATTTTCCTTCTCACTCTCTGCCCTTGCGTTTTATGTTCGCAGCTTGCAGAGGGGCTGAACCTGGAGAAGCAGAGGTGGCCACTGGGAGTGCTGCTGGTGATCTTTGAAGCTCGCCCTGACGCCATGCCGCAGGTGAGAATTTGCATACGGATACCATGTGCAATGCCGCAGGTGAGAGGGGTGATGCCACGTCATCACATCTACCCTGGCATCGTTTTTGCTGCTGAGAGCATGCCTATCCTCTGTTGTCGTTTTCTCAGGAACAAGCAATGTCTCTCCCACCATCTTGTTCCCTTGTGGCTTCCCAATCGGCCTGCTTACAAGGAAAGGGAGGCCGCATAATCTCTTTCTTCTCCCTCCTCCCTCCATTTCCTTCTCCCTCCTCCCTCCATTTCCTTCTCCCCCATCTCTCCCACCGCCCATCCCTGCGCTGGCCTTCTCAGATTGCAGCGCTGGCGATTCGCAGCGGCAACGGGCTGCTGCTCAAGGGAGGCAAGGAGGCACTCAACTCCAACCGCATCATCCACGAGGTGAGCTCCACGCGTGTGGTAACCAGATGCCAGCGGTAACTGTTGTGAGATAATTAATGAAATACTAGAGTCTGAGGCCAGCTAAGTAAGCCAACATGAGTAATCCATGGGAGTATACAGTTATTGGTGGTATCATGACCTTAAATCGCTGCAGCTACTCAGTTGGTACTCAGTTGATCATACACTATGCCCCAGGTGATTGCCTCCGCCCTGCCACCGGAGGTGGGCCCCTCACTTATTGGCCTCGTCACTTCACGCGACGACATCTCGGATCTGCTGAAGCTGCTTCCCTCCTGTCTCACTCACCCCTCCATATCTCCGTCCCACTGCTAACAGGTGATCGCCTCAGCACTCCCCCCAGAAGTCGGCCCCTCACTCATAGGCCTCGTCACTTCACGCGACGACATCTCGGATCTGCTGAAGCTGGACGACGTGATCGACCTGGTGATTCCGCGCGGCAGCAACGCGCTGGTGAATCATATCAAATCGCACACCAAGATTGCGGTGCTGGGCCATGCGGATGGCGTGTGCCACGTGTACGTGGACAAGGCAGCCAACCTCAAGATGGCCAAACGGATCATATTGGATGCCAAGATGGACTATCCCGCTGCCTGCAACGCCATGGTGAGCGGTAGGGAGAGGGAGAAAAAGGGGAGAGGGGATTGGAGGGAGGGAGTGGGTGGGGGGAGGGGGGGGGCACGAGGGAGTGGGAAAGTGGTGGGGAAGGGAGGGAGGAAGGGAGGGAAGGAGAGGGTTTAGAGGGCAGGGAGGGACCATGCGGATGGCGTGTGCCACGTGTACGTGGACAAGGCAGCCAACCTCAAGATGGCCAAACGGATCATATTGGATGCTAAGATGGACTACCCGGCTGCCTGCAATGCGATGGTGAGATATGCAGCTTAGTTGTTTACACATGTGGCAAGGGGGATGCCAAACGGATCGTGCACAATGCCAAGATAGACCACCCCGCTGCCTGCATCGCGATGCTGTGATACACAATGCATGAAATATTTTCATCCATACGATTGGATGCATTTGTTCCCGTTTGTTGCACCCTTCACAGAAAGCTCCTCTAAATGATGGGGTAATGCGTCATATGTCTCATGTGCTTGTTTTTTCAATTTCTTTCCTTGTGCTGCACCCGTAATAGGAAACCCTGCTACTCCACGAGGAGCTGGTGAAGTCGGGAGCTGCAGCGGAGCTCATTCAAGAGCTCAAAGACAATGGTGAGTTCATAGCAACACTTATGGAGTTCTGAGTTGGCTCGACAATGGGGCGTATAGCACTGATGGAAATACCCATTTGGAGTAATTCCATAAGCACATTGCAATGTGTGCAAAAACAAGCGTAGTGGTATTCCTGTATAGCATCGCACTCCCTACCTCACTGCCTCTTTCCCTTCCCTACACAGGCATAGTCCTCCCTGCAGGCGCGACCGCGGCTTCTCCCTTCTCCTTGCCTCAGGCCCCCACCTTGCATCACGAGTACGGGTCGCTGGAATGTACGGAGGAGACTGGTGTGTGTTCCTGTGGATTCACCCTTTCTCCCCACCTGTATGCAGGCATAGTCCTTCATGCAGGCACGACCGCAGCCCCCACCTTCTCCCGCCTGCAGCAGCGAAATCTCCACCACGAGTACGGGTCGCTGGAATGTACGGTGGAGATTGTGCCAGACAGTGGGAGTTCCCTGCTTATCAGTGTGTCTCGTGTCCCTTCCACCCCATTCTCCCCACCCGCATTCAGGCATAGTCCTTCATGCGGGCACGACTGCAGCGCCTGCCTTCTCCCTGCCTCTGGCAGCGAATCTGCACCACGAGTACGGGTCGCTGGAATGTACGGTGGAGATCGTGCCGGATATTGACGCGGCCATCCACCACATCCACACGCACGGCAGCGCGCACACCGACGCCATCGTCACCGAGGACCAGGAAGCCGCAAAGAAGTTTCTGGCGTCGGTGGACAGTGCGGTCGTGGTGCACAACGCCAGCACTCGCTTCTCCGACGGCTTCCGCTTCGGGCTCGGCGCCGAGGTGAGTTGGATGGGAGCGGAGAGTGGGGAGGGGAGATGCTAGGGACTGTTGTGCTGCAAGACAAGACAATGCTTCTCCGATGGTCTGCTTTTGTGCTAGGGACTCAAAAGCTAGGGACTGTTGTGCTGCAATACAATGCTTCTCCGACGGCGGCTTCCGCTTCGGGCTCGGCGCCGAGGTGAGATAACAAGAAGAGAGAAAGAGTAAACATATGTTTGCTAAATTGACATCTTCGGGCTCGGGCGCCGAGGTGAGGGGAGGGGGAGAGAGGGGGGCTTGGGGACTAGTAGAATAGAGACAGGGTTGCTTTCAGAGGGCCTTTGCATCGAGCTAATTTCTGCCCTCCTGCACTTTCTCTCGTGCAGGTGGGCATCAGCACGAGCCGCATCCATGCGAGAGGGCCTGTCGGGGTGGAGGGGCTCCTCACAACGCGCTGGTTGCTGAGAGGTGACGGGCATCTAGTCAACAAGGATAAGGATATCGTCTACACCCATAAAGCACTCCCTATAATTGAGTAGAAAATGCATCGTGTTACATAATGATGAGTAGTGGGATCTAGTTACCTCAACTAGGTGCTGAGGGGTGCAAACAGGTGCTAGAGTGGCGTTATGGACACCCAAAAATGCCCTTCTTCTGAATTAGTGGAATGTCACACTTCAACTGACCAGTGCAATGGTAGCTCTGGACGATTTTCTTACCACTTTTTCTTGATGCGGTTTCCTTTGAAGTGTTGAGCTGCCTGTACTGTACACAGTACCGAGCTCGCTCTTACGCTGTACAAGCTTCCCACTCGTGAATTTGGCGAGAATATCTGGATGCATGCTCTCGACCTTCAGTTCACTCGTTCGTTTCCGGACGAGGTTGCACATCCATTCTTAGAGAGATCGACGGTTCGAAACACATTCGAGTCTGACCATACCGCGTACAAATCCAGAATTCACCATTTTTGAGTTCAGTGGGAGTGGCGCATGTACAGCTGAAACGGCTTTGTAGCACACGTGTGGCTACTTGTTGCTAGTACTCCTCTCGTCGGGAAGGCTACGAGCCGTGTGATATCCTAGCACTACTAGCCATGGCTGCTTCCGTCGCCTCTTCCTCCGCCGCCATTTTGACGAATCAAGGGGCTCGGCTAATCGCGCGCGCAATTTCTTCGTCGAAGTGCGTTCGTTTCCTTCCTAAGCAGTTTCCGTATTCTCTCTCGTTACCTCGAGTTACGCGTTTATCGCACCGCGTTTATCGCGAAGCTTTCCCGCGTGCCTTTTTACCTGAATCGAGAGTTCGCATCGTGGCATGCCACGTGTCAATATTATATTTTTCGTCTTCCATCTACTGTGTTCCGTCCCTTCATTCGTGTCACCCTGCCATGTAGGACCTTATCCGGCGCCTCCCTGAGTGCCGATCGCGTGCCTCTGCCACGTGTCACAACGCGAGGGATTTACGGCAAGGCCAGGCTGGCAGTGATGGCTCAGGCTAAGATCGCAGCAGCGGCAGCGGCAGCGGCGGCCACGGAACCTCTGAGTGCGGGCTCGCCCCCTCCTGCTCTCTTTGACGGCACCACGCGGTGAGTTTTAGTAGGTCAACGCAAGTCAACGCCAGTCATGGCAAGGCCAGGCTGGCAGCTATGGTTCAGGCTATGGTTCCAGCAGCGGCATCGGCGGCCGCGGAGCCTCTGAGTGCGGGATTGCCCGCTCCTGCCCTCTTTGACGGCACCACCGGTGAGTCAACGCAGGTCAACGCAGGTTAACGCAATCCAAGAGGGACGTGGCGGCCACGGAGCCTCTGAGTGCGGGATCGCCGCCGCCTGCCTTGTTTGACGGCACCACGCGGTGAGTCAACGCAAGTCAACGCTAGCCACCGCAATTCAATAGGGACGTGGCGGCCACGGAGCCGCTGAGTGCGGGATCGCCCGCTCCTGCTCTCTTTGACGGCACCACACCGTGAGCATTGCTCCGTCAACGCAGGTCAACGCTATTCAACAGGAAACTTGGTTGCTACGGAGCCTGAGTGTGGAATCGCCCGCTCCTGCTCTCTTTGACAGCACCACGCGGTGAATTGGACAACAGTGAATGGGACATAGCCAACACATGTCGACGGTAGGCAACTCTCAGGTTCAAGCAACTATAGCCAATGGCCCATCAGTTCAGCGACCAATTACAAGAATCCTCCCTTATCCCCGTTTCCCTTGCCCCCCTCCAGCCTATACCACTACAAGGCGTGTCCCTTTGCTCAACGGGCAGTGATTGCCGTCAACTACAAGGTGAGCTGCCTGAAAATGTTACTTATAGTAACTAAAGCTTCCAATTAATTACTATTATATTATTTGTTAAGAGCAATTTCATTACAGCATATAATCTTTCTACCAATGTGTACTCCTCTCCACGTATCTCCTCATCCTAACAGGGTCTTGATTTTATCGAGCGAGTGGAGATCAGTCTTCGCAGCAAACCTGAATGGTAAGCACACACTGGATGATTCTTCTTGGTATATCAGTCCCTTGCTGCTGCTGCTGCTGCCGTGGCTGCTGGTTACCACATGGGTCCCACCAATTACCCACAGGGTCTTGATTTCATCAAACGAGTGGATATGAGTCTTCGCAGCAAGCCTGAATGGTATGCCTTGCACACTGGATGAAAGTCTTGTTTCAAGTGTGTGTGTGTGTGTGTGTGTGTGTGTGTGTGTGTGTGTGTGTGTGTGTGTGTGTGTGTGTGTGTGTGTGTGGAAACGTGATTGCCGGCACTTACGGAACAGCTTTTTGAGTCGCGGCGTCAAGAATTGACTTGTGAGTCGCGGCGTCAAGAATTGACTTGTGAGTCGCGGCGTCAAGAATTGACTTGTGAGTCGCGGCGTCAAGAATTGACTTGTGAGTCGCGGCGTCAAGAATTGACTTGTGAGTCGCGGCGTCAAGAATTGACTTGTGAGTCGCGGCGTCAAGAATGGTCTTGTGAGTCGCGGCGTCAAGAATTGACTTGTGAGTCGCGGCGTCAAGAATTGACTTGTGAGTCGCGGCGTCAAGAATGGTCTTGTGAGTCGCGGCGTCAAGAATTGACTTGTGAGTCGCGGCGTCAAGAATTGACTTGTGAGTCGCGGCGTCAAGAATGGTCTTGTGAGTCGCGGCGTCAAGAATTGACTTGTGAGTCGCGGCGTCAAGAATTGACTTGTGAGTCGCGGCGTCAAGAATTGACGTAATTGACTTGAGTCGCGGCGTCAAGAATTGACTTGTGAGTCGCGGCGTCAAGAATTGACTTGTGAGTCGCGGCGTCAAGAATTGACTTGTGAGTCGCGGCGTCAAGAATTGACTTGTGAGTCGACTCAAAAGTGATTGCCGGCACTTACGGAACAGCTTTTGAGTCGCGGCGTCAAGAATGGTACGCTCGCACTGGATGAGAGTTTTGAGACGTCTCAAAAGAACGGTACGCTCGCACTGGATGAGAGTTTTGAGACGTCTCAAAAGAATGGTATGCTCGCACTGGATGAGAGTTTCGTTTCTATTGTGTGGCAACGTGGTTGCTGGCATTTGAGAAACAGAGGCCTGCGCGATTTTTCAAACATCTCCCTAGCAATCTAGCACGGAAGTTGGTGTAACAGGGGCTTGGATCGTCTATGGCTGCTGCTGATTCTTCTGGTCATATCACTTGAAATGATTTGGTGTCATCGGTTATAATATCACCACACCCCACCCACTCCCACAGGTACACGGAGAAGGTGTATCCGCCAGGCAAGGTGCCTGCCATGGAGCATGCAGGGAAGGTGGTGGGGGAGAGAGCTTGGACCTGCTGCTGCTGGTTACCACATAGGTCTCACTGGTTACCATGCCTATCCGCCCTGCCCCTTCCACCCACACCCCTCCCCCCCCACCCACCCACTCCCACAGGTACACGGAGCAGGTGTATCCGCCAGGCAAGGTGCCTGCCATGGGAAGGCGGTGGGTGAGAACCTGGAAGCCTCTGAGACAGCTGCCGCTTCTGGTTACCATGTTACTGGTTTGATAATCTCCACTCCCCTCCCACCCACTCCCACAGGTACACGGAGAACGTGTATCCGCCAGGCAAAGTGCCTGCCATGGAGCACGCAGGGAAGGTGGTGGGGGAGAGCTTGGATCTGCTTCTGCTGATTGACGAGTGGTTCGGCGACAAGGGACCGAGGATTGTGCCTGAGGTGAGTACAAGTTGAGGTTATTTGCTACAACGGAAGGTGGTGGGAGAGAGCTTGGACCTGCTTCTCCTGCTGATTGATGAGTGGTCGGGCGACAAGGGACCGAGGATTGTGCCTGAGGTGAGTACTGGCAATACGTACAGGGTATGTGGTACAAGAGAAGGGAATCTGAGGCAGTAGGTCTTGGGGTAGAGCCCGGACCTGCTGCTGCTGATTGACGAGTGGTTCGGTGACAAGGGACCGAGGATTGTTCCTCCTGAGGTACGGACTGGCATGGGAACAGTGTGGGTTTTGTGTCACGAGCGAAGGGGATCGGAGGTGGTGGTGGGGGAGAGCTTGGACCTGCTTCTGCTGTTGATTATTGAGTGGTTCGGTGACAAGGGACTGAGGGTTGTACCCGAGGTTAGTACAAGTTCAGGTTATGTGCTTAAAGGGAAGGGAGCTGGTCTGATAGACTGTGGGGGAGAGCTTGGACCTGCTGCTGCTGATTGACGAGTGGTTCGGTGACAAGGGACCGAGGATTGTTCCTGAGGTGAGTAGTGGCGTTCGTATAGCGCTTTGGGTGCTAGGCATGGGAAGGTGAGAAAACGATTTGGACCTGCTGCTGCTGATTGACGAGTGCTTTGGTGACAAGGGACCGAGGATTGTGCCTGAGGTTAGTGCAGGTGTAGGTTATGTGTTACAAGGAAAGGTAGTGGGGGAGAGCCTGGACGTGCTTCTGCTGCTGATTGATGAGTGGTTTGGCGACAAGGGGCCAAAAATTGTGCCTGAGGTGAGTAGTGGAATGACATGGCAAGGCAAGGCAACAAATGCAGGTTCTGTGCAGCAGATGAGGACACCATGGTGGCTGGGGACTCTGCTCTCTCCCACCTCTGCAAATTCCTCCCACTGTGTGTGTAACCAGGACCCCGCCCTGGCAGCAGAGGCATCAGCACTTGTAGCAGCGTGTGGCGATATGATGATGGCTGGATACTCGTCTCTCTCCCACTTCCACCCCTCCCTCCCACTGTGTGTGTATTTACTGCTAACCTCACTGCAGGATCCCACCCTGGCAGCAGAGGCATCAGCGCTGAATACTCGTAGCAGCAGAGGCATGGATACTCGTATCAGCAGAGGCATCAGCGCTTGTAGCAGCGTGCGGGGACTTGATGACGGCTGGATACTCGTCTCTCTCCCACCCACCTCTATCACACCCCTCCCACTGCGTGTGTTCTCTCTTCACCTGCCTGCCTATCCCAATGCCAGAATGCATGCAGGATCCTGCTCTAGGAGCAGAGCCTGCTCTATCACACCCCTCCCACTGCGTGTGTCCTCTCCTGACCTGCCTGCCAACCGCCATGCATGCAGGACCCTGCCCTGGCAGCAGAGGCATCAGCGCTTGTAGCAGCGTGTGGTGACGTGATGATGGCTGGATACACGGCTCTCTCGCAGCTCTATCAGACAGGCGGCGAGGCGGAAGTGGAGGCTGCAATGGGTGAGAGATAGGTGCATGGCATCGTACGTGTGTGAGGGTGCAAGGCTTTGCATTTGTTGTTTGGCATTTTTGCATATCTATCAGACAGGCGGCGAGGCAGAAGTGGAGGCTGCTATGGGTGAGAGTTATGTGCATGGGATGCTATGGTATGGTACGTGTGACAACCTTACCATCATATCTTGTTGAAGTGTATAAGGTAAAATTCGACAAATTGTTTAATTTCCCAAGGACCCAGATCAGGCATGGTGAGAAACAATATACGCTTGGATGTAGGAGCAGTGCAATTGAAGCTGCTCAGCTGAATGATACAATTTCCTACAGTTTGGTGTACGTTTCCTGACAGATGTTTTCATACCTTTGTTGCCCACTAAACTACCTAGTCTAGGCTATCAATTTTTTTTTTTTCTGTTATCCTTGTGCCATGTCATCATCTCATGTCCGTCAGGACCACATCTAGACTCCATAGAGGCGAGCCTGGGCAAGCACCAAGGGAGTGGGCTGAGTTGACTTTTGAGCCGACTAAAAAACCACGGTTATTTTTTCTCGTTAATTGCTGTGCCATGTCATCTTCTCGTGCCCATCAGGATCGCATCTAGACTCCTTAGAGGCGAGTCTGGGCAAGCACCAGGAGAATGGGCCCTTCTTTCTAGGAAGCTTCTCATACGTAAGTCTCTAAACCAAACCAGTGTCACATCTTGGCAGGGGTCCTATGCCTCCATATAATGCCATATGTGAATGTTAGCTCTATTAGTTTTATGTGTCGTAGCATGCTCTAATAGTCATACTTCACGAGGCTCAAAACGAGGAAACACCTATCTTCTCGAGGTGCTTTCTTCGTTTTCTTCCATCGCCTATCTTCCCTTTTCGGAGCGACTTCCTCACAAAAATCATTTGGCGCAGTCGCCTTCAAGCTCGTGAACTAACTATACCACAAGGTTTTTTTCATAACCTCATTCAGTACCCCGTTTCCCCCATCAATGCGTCCACCACTTTTGAGGCGCCTCAAAAATCGTTTCCCCCATCAATGCGTCCACCACTTTTGAGGCGCCTCAAAAATCGTTTCCCCCATCAATGCGTCCACCACTTTTGAGGCGCCTCAAAAATCGTTTCCCCCATCAATGCGTCCACCACTTTTGAGGCGCCTCAAAAATCGTTTCCCCCATCAATGCGTCCACCACTTTTGAGGCGCCTCAAAAATCGTTTCCCCCATCAATGCGTCCACCACTTTTGAGGCGCCTCAAAAATCGTTTCCCCCATCAATGCGTCCACCACTTTTGAGGCGCCTCAAAAATCGTTTCCCCCATCAATGCGTCCACCACTTTTGAGGCGCCTCAAAAATCGTTTCCCCCATCAATGCGTCCACCACTTTTGAGGCGCCTCAAAAATCGTTTCCCCCATCAATGCGTCCACCACTTTTGAGGCGCCTCAAAAATCGTTTCCCCCATCAATGCGTCCACCACTTTTGAGGCGCCTCAAAAATCGTTTCCCCCATCAATGCGTCCACCACTTTTGAGGCGCCTCAAAAATCGTTTCCCCCATCAATGCGTCCACCACTTTTGAGGCGCCTCAAAAATCGTTTCCCCCATCAATGCGTCCACCACTTTTGAGGCGCCTCAAAAATCGTTTCCCCCATCAATGCGTCCACCACTTTTGAGGCGCCTCAAAAATCGTTTCCCCCATCAATGCGTCCACCACTTTTGAGGCGCCTCAAAAATCGTTTCCCCCATCAATGCGTCCACCACTTTTGAGGCGCCTCAAAAATCGTTTCCCCCATCAATGCGTCCACCACTTTTGAGGCGCCTCAAAAATCGTTTCCCCCATCAATGCGTCCACCACTTTTGAGGCGCCTCAAAAATCGTTTCCCCCATCAATGCGTCCACCACTTTTGAGGCGCCTCAAAAATCGTTTCCCCCATCAATGCGTCCACCACTTACCCCCATCCACCTATTCCACTCTCACTCTTCCTATCTTTCCAGGTTGACATCGCTTATCTGCCCTTCCTAGATCTGTTTCGCATTGCATTTCACCATTTCTGCCGCACTGCCATCACCAAGGAGAGATACTCCTCTGTTGCTTCCTCCTCAGCACAGCCCTTCCATCCCCCACCCTCTCTCTCCCCTCCCTTCCCCCACCAGGTGGACATTGCCTATCTGCCCTTCCTGGAGCGATTCAATATCACCTTTGACCATTTCTGGCGCACAGACATCACCCAGGGGAAGTGCTCGTATGTTTGTTCCTCCTCAGCACAGCCCCTCGCCCCACCCTTCATCCCCCCTCCCTTCCCCCATCAGGTAGACATCGCCTATCTGCCCTTCCTGGAGCGGTTCCGCATCGCCTTTGACCATTTCTGCTGCACCAACATTACCCAGTGCCTCGTTTGCCTCCCCCACCAGACCTGTCGTCTCCTCATACTCTCTGTCTGCCTCTTGAGTCGACTCAAAAGTCGTTTGCCTCCCCCACCAGACCTGTCGTCTCCTCATACTCTCTGTCTGTCTCTTGAGTCGACTCAAAAGTCGTTTGCCTCCCCCACCAGACCTGTCGTCTCCTCATACTCTCTGTCTGTCTCTTGAGTCGACTCAAAAGTCGTTTGCCTCCCCCACCAGACCTGTCGTCTCCTCATACTCTCTGTCTGTCTCTTGAGTCGACTCACCTTTTGAGTCAGACAGAGAAGGTGAGGAGAGTCGACTCAAAAGTCACCTCTGTGGGGTGCAGTCTCTCTACACCAGTGACAGGGCGCTGTAGCACTTTTGAGTCAGACAGAGAAGGTGAGGAGAGTAGACTCAAAAGTCTACTCTCTGTCTGTCTCTCCTCACTTCCTCAGGTGGACATCGCCTATCCGCCTGCCCTTCCTGGGGCGGGTCCGCGTCGCCTTTGAGCACTTCTGCCGCACTGACATCCATCCGTCACCCCTCCCCTCCCCACCAGGTGGGCATTGCCCATCTGCCCTTCCTGGAGCGGTTCCGCGTCGCCTTTGACCATATCTGCCACACAGACATCACCAAGGTCGTCTGGCTGCCGTGCACCGTTTCCTGATCCAAGTCCAACCTCTCCCCCCCCTCCCCCACTCCATCCCTCCCTCCAGGTGGACATTGCCTATCTGCCCTTCCTGGAGCGGTTCAAGATCGCATTTGACCATCTCTGCCACACAGACATCACCAAGGGGATATGCTCTGTTTCTTCAGCACAGCCTTTCCATGCCCCACCCTTCATCTCCCTCCCCTCCAGGTGGACATTGCCTATCTGCCCTTCCTGGAGCGATTCAATATCGCGTTCGAGCACTTCTGCCACACAGACATCACCAAGGGCCGCCCCAACCTGCAGCGCTGGTTTGAGGTACGATCGGAGGAGATGTAGTGCGGTGTGAGATGGTGTGAGGCGGTGGTTTGTTTTGGTGTGTAAGAAATTGCCTTCGTTATTTCTGCCACACTGACATCACCAAGGACCGCCCGAACCTGCAGCGCTGGTTCGTTCGGTGTGTAGCGATGGTGTGAGGTACACTGTGAGGCAGTGGTTTGGTGTGCGGTGTGATGCGGTGGAGTGGTTTGATGTATATGCTGTGAGGTGGTGGTTTGGTGTAGTGCATGCAAGTTCATTAGACCATTTCTGCCACACCTACTTCACCAAGGGTCACCCGAACCTGTCGCGCTGGTTTCAGGTACGTTTTGATGCGGTGTTACGCGGTGTGAGACGGTGGTGTGGCGTGCGGTGTGAGGCGGTGGTGTGGTGTGCGGTGTGAGGCGGCGGTTTGGTGTGCAGCAGTAAGAGTTGTGAGTACCTTTTACCTTTTCTTCCAAACTGACAGCACCAAGGGCCTCCTGAAACCTGCAGCGCTCGTTCAAGGTACGGTGTGAGGTGCTGTGATGCGGTGGTGTGGTGTGGTGTGGTTTTAGGGATATGCTGTGAGGCGGTGGTTTGGTGTAGCGCATGCAAGAGTGCATTTGACCATTTCTGCCGCACCGATATCCCAAGGGCCGGCCGAACCTGCAGCGCTGACTCGAGGTACGGTGTGAGGCGTATGTTTGGAGTGCGGCAGTCGGAAGTGTGGTGCTCCCTCCCCCCATATAGAGCGAGATGCCATCATTACTACTTACCTCTCATTCTGCTTCTTCTCCACTAATCTTCCTTTCCCTACCTCTCACCCCCTGCAGGCAGCAGCAAGCATGCAGACATAAACAGACACGTGCATGGAGCGAGATGCTATCATCACCACCCATCATCAGCACCCGCCTTTCTGCTCCCTCCCCCTTCTACCTTCTAATTTTCTCGTCTTCATGCATGCCGCAGCAAGCATCCAGGCATACACAGACACATGCATGGAGTGGGATGCCATCATCACTACCTGCCTTTCATGACTCTGCCCCCACCCCCCTTCTAATCTTGTACCCTCTAACCCTCTCTTCCTCTGCAGGCAGCAGCAACCGTCCAGGCATACGCAGACACATGCATGGAACGAGATGCCATCACCTCCATCCGCCTCTTATCCATTGTTCTGCTCTCCTGAACTCCTCTCCTCCTTCGTCCTCTGCAGGCAGCAGCCACCATCCAGGCATACACAGACACATGCATGGAGCGAGATGCCATCATCACTACCTACCATCCATGACCCTCCCCCCCCCCCCCCCCCCCCCCCCTTGTAATCCTCTTGTACCCTCTAATCTTCTCTTCTTCACGCAGGCAGCATCCACCATCCAGGCATACGCAGACACATGCATGGAGCGAGATGCCATCATCACTACCTACCATTCATCCATTCTGCTCCAACTCCCCCCCCCCTCCCCCCTCCATTTCCTCTCTAATTTCCAATGTTCTCTTCTTCCTGCAGGCAGCAGCGGCCATCCAGGCATACACAGACACATGCATGGAGCGAGAGGCCACCATCACTACCTATCAACAGATGCTGGTGCGTTGACCTGCCCACACATGTTCTCCTCCAGGCAAAAAAGACAAGGTTCTGGTGCGTTGGTGTGCACATGATTGGGTGCATGAAATCTGGTTAGATGGCATGTTCCCATATAGCACACTCTCCTTAATGACAATTTCCTATACAGCACATTCCTTCATGACACTCTCTCCCATCTGACACGCGCATGCACGCTTGCTCACATTGGTTTTGTGTTACAGGATAACAAGTACTTTGAGAGAGCAGGGGTGGCAAGCTCAACAACTGCCGCACCAGCTGCAGCTGCTGAGACATAGTTGGGGGTTCTTAACGTGTTCTGGTGTTCTGATGTTTGTAAGAGAAGGATTCTCATGACTGTTCAAACAATGACTTCAAACATCAGAACACCAACACTTCTAGGAAGTAGTGCCAATAACAACTTAAACTTGTGCCAGCATATGGCTTGTGCACACTTTGGTAGATGTTGGTATGGCCCATAGTGTCTACATGTTCTGTTGACCATGCAATAAAAAGTACGGTAATATCGGCAGTATGAAAACAAAGGCACGAAGGAGTTAAGAGTCATTGTAGGCTCCTGGCTGCTAAACCACATCACCCTACCATGCTCCAACTGCAATTTCTGGTTAAGGAAGCACGCTCCTGGCTGCTGAACTACATCACCATGCTCCAACTGCAATTTCTGGTTGAGGAAGCACAAAATGAGCCCGATGATTACCAATGCACTTCGTATCTTAGCACCGCAAAGGTTATGTACAACAAGCGAGCTATACACAAGCAATCTCGACAGAAACGGTCATTGCTACTACCGCACAGCAAACTATTTACTCCGTCGACTGAATCTTCACATCGCGGACATTAGGCTCGCCTTCCTTCTGTGGCTCGGTAGGCTGCTTCTTGGGCACGGTCACAGTCAGCACGCCGTGCTCCGTGTTCGCCGTAACCTTATCCACCTCCGTGTTTTCCGGAAGGCGGAACCTGCGGAGAAACTTCCCGGAGCTCCTTTCCATGCGGTGGTACCTTCCGGTGTCCTCCTTTTTCTCGCGCGTGCGCTCACCGCGAATCGCGAGCACGTTTCCGTCTTCGATCTGAACCTTCACCTCCTCGCGTCGCAGCCCAGGCATGTCTGCGATGAACTTGAACGCATCGTTCGTTTCGCGAACGTCCACCGCTGTGCGAGCAATGTCCTGCGAAAAATATTCACAACCCATATCAGCAAAGGGGCGGTGCAAGGTCAGCTCTTGCTCATCGACGGGAAAGGAGCCAGAAAATGACATGTTTATTAATATCCGTCGGAAACTTCGCGAGGTATTATTACCTCGCCGAATCAACGAAAAACAATATGGGAAGCCGAAAATTATTGTGGCTCACCTGCGTCTCACGGAGGAAGGAGGCGGTGGGAGCCTCGAAGAGCGAGCTGAACTCGTCGGGGAAGCGCATCCAACGCGGCATCATCTCGAGCGGTCCCGTGGGGGACGTGAGCGAGGTCATCGGCGCGAAGGGGTCCATCATGCCCATGCCGGTCCACGGTGCGAGAGCCATGGCGGGTAGTGGAAGTTAGAACGGTCGAGCGCACTGAGAGCTGTCGAGACGGGGAGCTACTTGGGGAAGCGAGAGACGGTGACAAAGCAAAAGCTTGTTGGGTCAGAGAGCAAGTTGAAGGAAGCGCTTAGAACGGCAGTCTTAATAGTCTGAAAGTTCGATGACGAACTATGACGAATGGAACTGCTTATGTAGTACTTCGGTGCCACCAAATGCTCTCGAAGACGTTCTCGAATCTTGTAGCAGCTTCGACCATCCATGCGTAGGGCTGGCAGCGGCATCATGATGGAGCCGACGCGAGGGCTAGAATGCATGAAAGATTTCTCGCGTCGTGGCGAAGCAACACCATGAAAGGCTTCAACAGACCATGCTCGCGACGCATCTAGATACGTCGAGCATGTACCATGGAACGCGCCTCGGAAAGCCTAGCATGGTGCCTGCCAGCACCACGCGCCAATAGGAGGTGAGTGGCCGCACTGCGGAGAGCGTTGCATGGCTATAGAGAGAAACATCCAGAGAAGCCTAGCAGGTGCGAATAAGTACCTGCCAGCATCACTACAGGAAGCGCAGTGCATGGCGATGGTGGTATGTGTTGTATATGCGGTGTCAGCAAGGGAGACTAGGGAGAAGACAGAGAGCACGTGTGACGAGTTGTCAAGGAGGACGGGAAGGTGCTGGATGTCTCGGGAGACATAACCGCGTTATAGCCTCTTTCCTCTTAGACTATGTGGTCACAACAGAATGACCAGTTATTTCAAACTATCATGTTTGTTACATACCGTAAGTTAAACAATGATAATACTAGTCTGCGTGAATACATAGAATATTATGTAATAAAAAATGGATTACAAAGAATTCCAATATAATCCCCAAAACGCATCTGGTAATTATATAGTAGGGCTGCAGGTTTCCACCCTATTAGAGATCTCTGTTGTGAGTTGCAATGATTTCTTATCTTCCCACGATTAGATTTCTGTTGAAAGACCTAGCGACAATGACGAAGTGTGTCCGTGACGAAACACCCACTCCCCCACAGGAAGACGTGCCTTTTACGAGGTCGTCGCGCTGAGCTGAGCCAGTTTCAAGGGTTTTCGTCTGCCAATCACGAAAGTGGCACGAGTGAGCGTCGCACACGCAATTCACGACGCCCTGCCGTTGTCACTTGCCTGTCGCTCGACACCTTCGGAATATATTTTCTTGAAATCAACGCCCAACCGTTCTAAAGAAATTTTAGACCGTCCTGTAACATTGCTAAACCCTTCTAACCGAAGTACCTGACATGCGTTGGTCACTTCAACCACGTCCCTTACGAATTGCCCAAATACCTCCTTAGGAACGGCTGATTAGACCTGCGTAGTGGTGAAGCTTGTTGCAACTAGGGTATCGTTTGTCGTACATCTAAACGTCGAACTAGGTACTACCCCAGGGCTGGTTCATCCGAGATAGTTGCTTTCCTCTTAGGAGACCACGCGGGGTCGCAGTAAGGTTCAGTTGAGAAACGAGGAAACGCGAGCGACTCGTATTGGTGGAGCGAGCGAGCCCGGTATACCATTACAGTCACTAACTTTAACATCGGTTCGGTATAACGCTTGTATGCTACCGTCAGGAATGAGAAGAACCGTATGAAATTCAGCAGCAGTAGCAACGTTTTATATAGCTTGAAAGTAAAAGCTTTAAGGAGAGCGGCGAGTTTTAGGATCCAACTTAAAAGGTTTGGTTAAGACATATGCGTCAGCAGCATTGCCTTATCCGTTAGGAGTTCAAGCGTGACTTGGAGCCCGACCATTCACCTGTGAATTGGTGCGCCTACTCAGGAAGTCACTGGAACTGGATAGGGCGACGCGAACTTTTGCGATAGCGGGCGAAGATAAGCGAACGTCGAACGAGGAGATTTCGAAGATTTCGTTACGTTCTCGAAGCTGCGCGCAGGAGCGTCAAGACCGCGATCAGTGGTAGCGCGATGAGCGGCGTGATGTCGGATCTGGACCGTCAGATCGAGCAGCTGAGGCGATGTGAGCCGTTGAAGGAGTCGGAGGTGAAAGCGCTGTGCATGAAAGCCATGGAGGTTCTGGTGGAGGAGAGCAACGTGCAACGAGTCGACTCGCCTGTAACAGTAAGGACTCGTTTTTCGCAGAGCTTCGCCAATAACAGTAACCAGGTGCATGAAAGCCATGGAGGTGCTTGTGGAGGAGCGCAAGGTACAACGAGTCAACTCGCCTGTAACGGTACTAAATTCCCTTCGCATGCATTCGCGAGTAACAGTAATCAGGGGCATGATTGGAAGTGCAGGTGGAGGAGCTTAACGTGGAACAAGTCGTTTCACCTGTTACAGTAAGGATTTGTTTTTTTATTTCGCAGAGCTTCGAGAGCAACAGTAACCAGGTTCTCCAATGGATAGGTGTCTGCGGAGGAGAGCAACCTGCAACGAGTCGATTCGCCTGGAGGGTGGGGACAGAAACGTGGGAGTCTTCCACTCAGGCTCCCAGTTCCTGTCGTAGCATGACTTGCATTAGATCCCTGGAAGCCTGGGTGGAAGACAGAAACGTGTTAACCATTTCCCCCGCTTCCCACCCTCATTACCCCCCGTCTTCTTTCCCTTGCAGCTTGTGGTGGCATCCACAAGCAGTTTTACGACATGCGGCCTCCCAACCTCTCCACTTTCCCCTGCCATTCCCCCCCCTTCTCTCCCCCCCACACACCACCTCTTCATAGCTCTGTGGCGACATCCACGGGCCGTGTTACGACATGGTGGAGCTTTTTGAAATTTGGCCTTCGGATGTCTCCCACTCCCTCCCAACCTTCTGGTATCAACCATACCCCCCCCTCCCCGTCTCTCCGTCCCTCCTCTTCCCCCCTCCCTCGCAGCTCTGTGGGGACATCCACGGCCAGTTGTACGACATGATGAAGCTCTTCAGAGTGCGGCCTTGTGTTATCCCTTCCCCCCGTCCCTCCCATTGTCACCCGCCCACCTCCCCCGTCCCACTTCCTCCTCGCAGCTCTGTGGGGACATCCAGGGCCGGTTGTACGACATGATGAAGCTCTTCAAATTGCGGCCTTGTGAAATTTCACTCACCTCCCTCCCCATGGCATTTACCCTACAATACACTCCCCAGACTTTTTTTTTAATTTTCCCCTCTATCCCTCAGCTCTGTGGCGACATCCACGGGCAGTTTTACGACATGATGGAGCTCTTCAAAGTGGGCGGCGACTGTCCACAAACGAATTACCTCTTTATGGGGGATTTCGTGGACCGGGGGTTCTACTCCGTTGAGACCTTCCTCCTCCTCCTAGCACTCAAGGTGGGCGTGTGCTGATGTACTTTTGTGTGTGTGCATAAGAGATCATATCTTTGAGATGGCTCAAAAGTCCTCTTTATGGGGGATTTCGTGGACCGGGGGTTCTACTCCGCCGAGACCTTCGTCTTCCTCCTGGCGCTCAAGGTGAGCGTGCGTTGTGCTTGTGTGTGCGTACTTATGAGGGGGTGATTTTGAGACTCCTCAGGAGTATTCTCATGTGGGATTTGTGGACCCAGGGTTCTACTCTGTTGAGACCTTCCTCCTCCTCCTTGCGCTCAAGGTAGGCACTGTGTTCTTTGCTGTTTCTGTGCTAATGTGTTTGGGCAGAACGGTTTTGTATGTTCTTCTGTGTGCTTTCTGTTTTGTGTTATATATTTGGATTCGATGCTGGGCCCTGCGTTGCTTGGTGCTTGTGCAGGTGCGGTATCCTGACAGAATCACACTTATCAGAGGGAACCACG